CCTGCGTGGCGGCCTTTATATCAGAGGCAGCAGGATGGGGCAGCAGGCGGGAGCTGGTCTGCAGGGGGAGCCGATTTTTAAACTGGCTCCCTTTGTGGACCAACTCCACCTGCCATGCCACGTTGCTGCCTCTGATACAAAGGCAGCAAGGGGCTTCCCGGGAGTGGAGCTGGGACTGCCCTGACTTCCGGCCCTGCTCCCAGGGACTATCAAACAGTCGTGTAACCATTAACATTTAGTGAGGTTACACGACTATTTCATTACATGCTATCTAACATCCCAACCCCCTTTGCTGTTTCTTTCCTTCTAACCAAAAGTGTGTTGGGGGGAAGGCACGGCTGCTCCCTAAGAGCTAAACTCTGAGGTCTGCTATAGAGTAGAATCATCTGTAGGTAGTTTTTGTCCTTGATCTGCTAGTTAAACTCTTCAAAATGTTAACTTCAGCTCTGTGAAGGCTGAAAGAAAAGACAATTCTGAAAGGTTATTACACAGCAGTCCTGTATCTTCCTTTTTTTCTGCCCAGCATCTCTCTCATGTCCTACAGAAGATTGGCTGGTGAATCAATTCTATCGAAAAGACACTGAGTCCCATCTGCCTGCTTTACAGCCTCTCTGGTTTGGCATTCGTTTGCTGTCTCAAGTTGTCAGCTAGCTTTTGGTGGAGCTGAATTATAAATTCATCTGCTGTCAGGTGCCTCAATGTGGGCTGTGCCAAGTGCAGGATAGGTTTTTTCCTTACAATGAATCACAGCAGGGAGGCTCCTGAAACAAGAAAACATGATCCATAATTCTGATGCAGAGAAGGGGTTCTTACTTTTGCATCCAGGAGATGGAGCTGCTGAATATTTACATTAAAATGATGTTCACCACGGATCCCCTGGAAATGCTGCCCTCAGCGTACAGGGAGAAACTCCTGCCCATCGAGAGCTGCATTATGTAGCGGTTGCAGATGGCAGTTAAAGCCAAGTTCAGCAAAACCAACACTTACTGAAAAGGTGACTTTCCAGGAGTCAAAAGGTAAGGTGGAATTGGTGGCAATAAATGCTAGGACATTTAGAAAAAATAAGTCCTACTTCATAGTCCCCCTCATGGGGATTCTCTATAGTAGGAGACCACACACAGTCATATACTGTAGCCTGGATAATGTTGTGATCGCTGGTATTTATGATTACACAAAGTTAATATAGATAATTAAAACTTCTCATTCAAGACTGTGAAATGGAGAGGTGTATGTAATGGGAGAAGTAAGTGGAGACAGTGCTTCAGGTGGTCTGAAAAAAGGTGGGTTGATCATAATCTGGGAGCAACAGCTTTGGTAAAACAATGCTTGGAAGTGCACAACTCAGTTATCCAGTATGAGGAGTATTATTTGTATTAATTTTATGTGTTCTCTTTAGCTGGGTCTGCAACCCTTTGTGGTTCTTCTCTACCTCTACTTTAAGCACTGGATAGGGGATAAGAGAATGTCAGAAAGGATCACATGCGGAAGTAGGTCTGGCCCATGAAAGCTCATCCATCACCTATTAAACCATCTTGTTAGTCTTTAAAGTGTTGCATAGTTTTTCCTTTTGTTTTAATAAGTAAGTAGGTGTACTGTGGCAGTATTTCACTCTCTCAAGCATTGTTCATTGCTTCAGGGAGAATAGTAGACTATGTGGGTTTCGGGTTTGAGCCAGTATCAAAATTCCCACTGTTATTTTTGGTAGAAAAATAACTAGGAAAAAAGTGTGCATTATGCACACAGAATGAAGCATATGATAAACTATAAAGGGTTATTACTGACACACACTGGCATAAAAAAGGTTTAAACATTTACAATATTAGCTAGGAATGGGGCTATTGCACAAACTATGATAACATGCAGAATGTGCTGCCCGCATTGGACAAATAATATATCAACCTTTTATTATTTAAACAGCATGTAATAAAACAGAAAAGAGACATGAGCCCTTCTGAACAGCAGGTGTGCACAGACAGAGTAGCTTTGCATAGGCCAAACATCCAGGTAGGGGTAAAGGCAAATACTCACCCTTCTCCACTTCCAGCCCATAAAAAGGAGGTGCTCTTTTCCCGAGCATGTTCTTTCCCTCATGCAATGGTTTATTTTCTGTGTAACAGTTAAGGGGGGGAGGGATGATGTCTCCCTCTGAGGCTGGATGATAGGAGAGCACAGTGGGCTTCTGTGTAACTTTTCATGGCGCTTACCAGTTTGTGAAAGGGCTCCTCCCTATGCTGCTGTGTGGCACAGTATGTTTCTTTTAGTTTGTACCTTTTAAAAGCTATAGCCTGGGCGCACTCTCTCTTCAGAAATACACTGTTCGTAAACAGCCTTTGAGGCATTCACATGTAATAATAAAGTGGTGTGTTTGTGGGATGAATTTATTTTTCTTTGGGATTATGACTGATCATTCTTTTTGCTCCTATAATTTGATGGTGTGAGATCATGAAGCAGCAAATTAAAATCTCACAGGATGGTGCAGGTGTTTAACAAGGGCTGTTCTCTGCCATTGGCTTAACTCTGGGCCAGACTCTAGGGGGTTATTGCTAATTTTCTATGTAGTATCATAAATGTATCTTGCATTTTACAAAACATGGTATAAATCAATGTCACTGCCCAGAAGAGCTTGCACTGACACCCAGACAAGACAAAATGTGCGGGGGGACGGGGACCGTGAAGGAGTTGGAAGTGCAGAGGCAGATGACATGATCAGCATAAGGAAGCTCTATAGAAGAAGTAGGGTATTAAGTAGAACACCTGAGAAGTAATGGTAGGAAGGAGGCTGATCCAAAAATAAGGGGTAGCATTGGAGACAGTGCAAACCCACAGAGAAGAGGTGAGAAGGCATTAGAGAGGGAAATTTGGGGTCAAATGCAGTGCAATAAAAAGACACTAGAGGACTCTGAGGCTATGTCTACACTGGCGGCTTCTTCTGCAAGAACATCTTGAGCAAGGGTTCTTGTGCAAGAAGTCTTGCACAAGAAAACGTCCACACTGCCTTGTGTGAGCTGTGCTTTTGTGCAAGAGCATCTATGGCAGTGTGGACGCTCTCTTGCGCAAGAAAGCGCTGATGGTCGTTTTAGCCATAGGGCTTTCTTGTGTAAGAAATCCACACTGCCCTCTTGTGCAAGAGCTCCTGCGCAAGAGGGCTTACACCTGTTAAAAAAGAGCGTAGCTCTTTTGCAAGAAGCCCTCTTCCCATGCCGTACTGTAAATCTTCTTGAGCAAGAGTGGGTGGGCAGTGTGGACGCTTTCCAGACGAACGGCCATTCTTGCGCAATAACCCGCCAGTGTAGACATAGCCTGAGGGGTGCTGTGATAGGAGCAGAAGAGGATTTTAGCAGTGGCCTGAATCAATGTAACAAACCCTTCACCTGTAGGAGATTTTCCTTTTGTTGATCTGATTGCCACAAATGTAAGTAATATTTAGAGTCAGGCACTTTGATATAATGGAGGTAAAGGTTGGGAAATGTTGTGTTTCTGATGCACAGATGTTTCAGAGCATCCACTTTGAGTCTCCAGATAATTTTGATTTTGATTATTTTTCTTTGTGTGTGGGTTTTGTTTTTTTTAAATTTTTTTATTATATACAATTGTCCTGAGGGACAAAGCTGTGTGTGTCTGAAACACTGTAGGAGCCTTCATCATGAATCCTCTAGCAGGCAGGCAGGTATCTTACCTATAAAGGTGAGGTGCACTGAACAGAATCATAACTTCATACACATCTGGAAATTGTCAGAGTACAGCAGTGCTCTAACTACATCCCTCCCACTCCCTCTATTTTAGTGGGCAATTAGAGGAGGAGGTAAAGCTGCAGTATATTTGGTGTTAGGCCAGCCTGTTTGTGGGAATGCTCAGCTAAACAGGTATAGCAGCTTTGAAAACTCTTAGCATTGCTTTATCCAGAACCAGGATCTCATCCATGGTCTGATCCAGTATGAAAACTCCAGTAAATACCTCTCTCCTAGAGACGTGACAAAGGAGCTCAATCTAGATGATAGGAGGACAAGGCACTTGACAGGCTACAAAAGGTTGTTATAGTTCCATATTCCTGCATGGAAAAGGGTTAAATATTGATCATATTTCCCAGAATCTTGGACTCAGTAAAGGGCATTGCAATTGGCAGATGGGGCTGCCCAGAGGGAACTTAGGGAAACACCTACTTTGTGAAGGTTATGAAAAGAAGACAGAAATGAGCCCTCCATTCACAAAGTCTGCCAGATGCTCCTCCTGAAAGGCAGATGTGTATGGGCAAAGACCCTTTGTCTGGGCCAGTCATCCAGGAAGGGTAAAGGCAAATGTTCCTTCTCCAAGTGCACACTATGTAGTACATAGATATGCCCCATTCCTCTGGTGTGTTCTTCCCTTCTCTGAATTCTTTACTTTCTGTCGAATACCGTTTAGGGGAGTGTGACCTCACCATATGAGGTTGTCTGATAGGAGAAGTGAGTGGGCTTAGTAACTCACCATGGGCTTATGGTTCTTACTGGCCTGTGAGAGGACTCTCCACCTTGCTCTGCTGCACTGCCATTGTCCTTTAGATTATACTTTTAAATATACCATAGACTAGAGTTTTACCCTCTCTCTAAAGAAATACTGTGTCTCAGAGGTGGTGCATGAGAGGGGAAGCAGCATGTGGGACCATGCACATACCTCCCCACACCCCCAGTTTCCAGCCAGGTTTGTATTTTTATTTTTACTTCATTTTTGTGTGGGGCAGGGTAGTTCAAAATTGTGCCCTCCCACTATCAAAAGTTACATATTACCTCCACCTGGTATTGTTAACAATGAATATAAATTAGAAGGTAGGAATTGCAGAAAAGTGATAAGAAAGGCAAAAAGGATACAAGGAGAAATTTATGGCCACCGTAGTTAAGGACAATAAAAGGAGACTTTTAAATATATAAGGATTAAAAGGAATCCTAAAAATGGGCCATTATTACATGGAAAAGCTGGCATTGCTAATTAATAATGAAGAAAAAACAAAATGATCAATATATCTTTTAGTTCTGTAATTGGAACAAGACAGGTAAGTTATTCACATTGGATAATGAAGATTCACGATGAAAAAGTTCCATTCCAATTATATATTATAAGGACAATGTTAACAGTAATTCCTTAAGTTTTAGGTATTTATTTGATCAACAGTCCAAATAATTTGCCTCCAGTAATTGAGAGCTGTCTGAGGAGCTCTCAGGATCATCAATGTTCATTTTCAGTCAGTGTTGGGGCATTCCGCAAAGTTTCAGAGGACTGAAAGAGAACTAATGTTGTATATGAATATTTAAAATTGGTAAATGCTATTTAATATTTTTGCTGTGACCTGCAAGAATGCAGAATCATGACTGATGAAGTTGGCAGATGACACTAAAATTGAGGGAATAGAAAATATCATTATTTTATGAGGTGCTGCCACTGGTATTGAGTGATTAGGATTGGTTTGAAAAAGCTAGGTGTTAAGAGAACAGTGTGGCTGTGTCTACACTGGCACGTTCTCACGCAAAAACTCTTCTGCAGAAGAGTTCTTTTGCAAAAATTCTTCCAGAAGAGAGCGTCTACACTGGCATGTACTTTTCCACAACAGATGTGCTTTTGCGCAAAAGCATTCATGCCAGTGTAGACGCTGTCTTGCGCAAGAAAGTTCTGATGGCCATTTTAACCATAGGGCTTTCTTGCACAAGAAATTCATGTTGCCTGTCTATACTGGCCTCTTGCGCAAGAACAGTTGCGCAAAAGGGCTTATTCCTGAGCGGGAGCATCAGAGTTCTGGTGCAAGAAGCCCTGATTTCATACATTAGAACGGCAGTGTACTTGTGCAAGAACACGCGGCCAGTGTAGACAGGCAGCAAGTTTTTGTGCAAGAGCGGCCGCTTTTGCGCAAGATTGTGCCAGTGTAGACACAGCCGTGTTTTAGTATGCCAAATGGAAAGTCACACATCTAAGGCCTCAGAAGCAGCAAATCTGGAAAGCCTTTGGGAGTCATGAGAGATGATGATTGTGGCTGTGCTGTCCCCATGAA